TCCTCCCACGCAACTGATGATGGGCCGGATCTTATACGCATCTGCAGGCAGTGACAGCACATCACTGTGAGGAGCAAGCTTGTGGGTCTTTAAAAGGCTATAGAAAACTGGGCAAGTAGGGTTGTCCAATTTGAGCCTACTAACAAACTTATCATCGAGCCCTGCAGACTTTCCAATGCACAACCATGCATTATTGAGGCGTTTGCATTGCGATGAAAAGTCTTTTTCACTGACGCGGCGGTAAACGCTGGAATCCCGCAAGTGGACTTCAGTTATGGCACGATCAAGAGATTGTGGCATAACTACGAACTCACCACCCTTATCACTGACGGATATGCGTATGGAACCGTTTGATCTTAGCTCACGCAATTCTCTGAACCCCAGCCACTGTTCGGGTGTTAAGTTTGTATTTCGCGAACGTATTTGAAGTTATTCAAAACGGCCAAAATACCTGTTGATAACACTCTGAACTTAACATCGACTTGTTGAGATGGTTGAGGTTCTCTGTAGAAAGTGCGCGGAAACGGTACACACAGAGGCAATCCTTGAGGGCGGCTTGTCATTGCGGCTCCTCGCGACGCTCGCTTTTGATGCGAAGCGCGTCTCTAAGCCTTTGGAGACCCCCCACTACTTTTCGAAACACTTGTGCTGTGATGTTTTGAGCTGGCGAAAAGGACGGACCAAGACTTAACAACTTAAAGCGTTAGGGGAAAGATGAGTGTTGTCGATAACAGTGACCCGTTCCGAATTTCCGCCTTGCTGTACTGTGTCGTTCGTGTGTTGGTGGTCGGTGGTGATGCTGTTCTCACGAGTACTGTCGTCTTCCCTCAGTGTACCCAACAATCTGTGCGTTATTTTATAAATAAATTTCGCACAAAGAATCGACTTGGCCCTAGATCGGATAGGCCGGTTCGCAAATCAATCTTGACTCACCCTCAATCCTCCTCCAAGTCCGATCAGGCAGAAGACGTTGGCATGCGCGCTCTTTCGCTTCACACTTCAACAACGAGGAATACAGTACATGCCGCTTTTCCCTAATAACAACATCCAGAATAGTACGGTAGATAGACGTTATCACTGGATGATCTTCGGGAAGACGGCATGTTGCTCCGATTTTCTTATTTGTGATGAAACGAGGCAGCACGCCGGTCGTCCTGCAACGTCGAAGGAACTTGAGAGATTGACGGGCGGCGACTGCCTTTCTGGCGAAGCGAGCAACATGCCGTCTTCCCGAAGATCATCCAGTGATAACGTCTATCTACCGTACTATTCTGGATGTTGTTATTAGGGGAAAAGCGGCATGTACTGTATTCCTCGTTGTTGAAGTGTGAAGCGAAAGAGCGCGCATGCCAACGTCTTCTGCCTGATCGGACTTGGAGGAGGATTGAGGGTGAGTCAAGATTGATTTGCGACTCTATTCGATCTAGGGCCAAGTCGACTCTTTGTGCGAAATACGACAGGATTGTGGTTGCCCGGTACACTGAGGGAAGACGACAGTACTCGTGAGAACAGCATCACCACCGACCACCAACACACGAACGACACAGTACAGCAAGGCGGAAATTCGGAACGGGTCACTGTTATCGACAACACTCATCTTTCCCCTAACGCTTTAAGTTTGTTAAGTCTTGGTCCGTCCTTTTCGCCAGCTCAAAAACATCACAGCACAAGTGTTTCGAAAAGTAGAGTGTGGGGGGTCTCCAAAGGCTTAGAGACGCGCTTCGCATCAAAAGCGAGCGTCGCGAGGAGCCGCAAATGACAAGCCGCCCTCAAGGATTGCCTCTGTGTGTACCGTTTCCGCGCACTTTCTACAGAGAACCTCAACCATCTCAACAAGTCGATGTTAAGTTCAGAGTGTTATCAACAGGTATTTTGGCCGTTTTGAATAACTTCAAACGGTTCCGAAATACAAACTTAACACCCGAACAGTGGCTGGGGTTCAGAGAATTGCGTGAGCTAAGATCAAACGGTTCCATACGCATATCCGTCAGTGACAAGGGCGGTGAATTCGTAGTTATGCCACAATCTCTTGATCGTGCCATAACTGAAGTCCACTTGCGGGATTCCAGCGTTTACCGCCGCGTCAGCGAAGAGGACTTTTCATCACAATGCAGACGTCTCAACCGTGCATGGTTGTGCATAGGAAAATCTGCAGGACTTGATGACAAGTTCATTAGTAGACTGAAACTGGACAACCCAAGATGTCCAGTTTTCTACAGCCTTTTAAAGACCCATAAACTTGCCTCTCAGAATAATATGCTGCCAATGCCAGCGGATACGTATAAGATCCGTCCTATCATAAGTTGCGTGGGTGGCCCTACCGACCGAATATCATGGTTTCTTCAACACCATCGTCAGTCAACTTCTACCCATGGTCCCCTCTCACCTGCCAAATACGAATCGCTTCCTTGAACAGCTACGGCGCTGCAATATCCCAGACAATGCCGTGGTAGAGTCATTCGATGTTACATCGCTTTACACTAATGTCCAAAACGAGCAAGCCCTACAAGCATTGTCCGAAATGCTAGACAGGCATCTTGCTGTTATACGAACCTTTGGACTTGATAAAGCACACATAATGACTCTAATCAAGGAATGCTTGAACTGTAACATTTTCAAATGGGCAGGTACATATTACTCTCAAATAAGAGGGCTGGCCATGGGTCAGCGCCTTGCACCAGTGCTCGCGGTGTGCTTCATGGGTAGAATAGAAGAACCGGTGCTGGAGCGGTTGCCCTTAATGTACTGTAGTACATAGGACGACTCGTTCATTATAATAACATCAACACAATCCGAAATGGATGAGTGTTTCCGGCTTATGAATGAACAGTCCCAGTACATTAAACTGACGCGAGAAACTCCGCAAAACGGTTGGCTACCATTTCTCAACACGCAAGTAAAGGTATCCAATGGCATCTCTCGGGTAAAATGGTACCGTAAAAGCAGCTCGAAAAACATCCTGGTGCACGCTACTTCAGCACATCCGATCGCCGTGAAGCGTGCTGTTGTCCGTAAGCACGCGCGAGCATGAATAAACGAAACGAACTCGCGAGAATTTCTAAGCCCAAGAAAATAGCCGTCTTATGAATGGGCTATACGGCATTATACCCTTGGGACGAAGGGGCATACTGAACCAGACGAGAAGTACCACGTCGAAACAAGATACCCCTGTGCATCCCCTTCATATCCGATAAGGTCAGCGCTGCAATAAAACGGAGCATAGTAAGGGCCCAGTTGCAGGACGATGTTCAGTTGGTGAATATACCACCAACTGAGACATTTCAAAACAGAAAAGCAGCTGGTTCGTAATAGGCTCTACGACAAGCAGTGCATATCAGAGAATTGTGTTACATGCCCACACGGGAAGGTTGGTGACTGTGCGCAACTGGGAGTAATATATGAAATCCAGTGTCGGGAATGTAACTCTACATATATAGGGGAAACAGGAAGGGTCTTGGCAATTCGCATCAAGGAACACCTTGCTAGCATGAGGCGTGGTACTCTTACAACTGCTCTTGGGAGGCACAAGGTTGCTGAACACAATGGGGTTGGCGACCCATTTCGAAATATAAGTGCCAGTGCTGCTGGCAAATGAGACGGAACTTTTCGAGCCTAGAAAAGCGCTTATGAAGCCATATCTTGGATATTCACTAGGAAACCCAGAATGAACAATCGAGATGAGTGTCCTTCCATCACCAGTGACCTACTACCGTTTATACCCCACTGCGGACTGTAAAATGACAGAGCGTGACGTACGTCTCCACGATATGTCATCACATGGAGACAATGTAGGGTTCTTCATTTCTCTACTAACAGCTCTGTGGACACTGTGGTGCCGGGACCTATCCTCTAAGGCGTTTGGAAACAACTGCTGTAGGCTGTTTCTTGCAGTTGCAGTGGCGTCTTCTCGAAGGGTTCCCGACACTACGTCGGAACCGCTAGATTCGACGAGGCGCTTGGTGGGGTAGGTTGCGAATCTAAAACTTGAAACATGTTCAGGCCTCTGAAGGACGGATCGATTGCGGTCGAAACTGTTAGGCCATTAATTAATTCGTTATAGAGATGTGTTTTGAAGCCAACTGTGGTGCCGTAGAAGACGGCATGACGGCATTATCTGTTCGGTGGGACACCATTTAATGTGACAGCTAATTAGGTTTCTCTCGTTCCCTACTCGTATTAAGCCGACCTTACCATTAGAGAATGTAGATCGTGATAATCCTATCTGTAGGCGCGTGATGTTTTGCTCATGTTAGAGCCTAAGATATCTAGTTCGGGAATAAAGGCGAACATGCTCGATGGTTCGCGGAAGACGAGCAGATAGTGTTTCCAGAAACGATCAGCACACAAACAGGCACCGGGGGAGCGAGCGTTAAACGATTCGTGACCCTCAGAGATCGTTCGGTTCGCTGAATGTTACTGCTATTACTTACTGGAAGATACCGTGAAAGATCGCACCCAGCTGAAACTGGTAAATAACCATTCAAAAGATTGTGGTTCGATCACTGGAGAAGTGAGATTTTGACTGAGAGTTCACTTTATCACACAAATGCGATTTGTTACGAAATTAAGTTATAGAAATAGTTCATACGGTCGCATTCAGTCGGGCGGTTGTCGGCAGTTGCAGAGCAATGCAGGTCGCGCCTCTAGACCGCCTGAAGACGGGAATGCATTTGCGTAGTCAAAATTGGCCACCGACCAACAAGGTCCTTTCTTAGCCTTTTTTATTGCGGAGCCAAAAAGCTTCAGCTAGCTGTGATCTGAAGTATGCCGACCTATGTGCCCCTCAGGACCACCTCCACATTCAGATTACTCGTGCCTGTTTTCACCAGTAATTGTACTTGACGGGAGGTACAGCCGTCCATTAATTCGAAAACCTTGCCTCCTAACCAGTTGCTAAATAAGTTTAGAAATTATGCATGCGGAATATCACTTTGCGATATTAACTTCAAGAACTGTTCAAATCTTCTCCATTGAACGATCTGAAAATTTTTTTCCGCAACTCTTTGGAAGATACAAACCATCCTTGGGAAGAGAGGAGTATCTATTTATTGACAGAGTCTGAAATTTTTACTTGAGAACAGGTAGTTCAAGGAAAATTTTCCTTAGATATGAGTTTAGCGAGGAAACAATTTCCGCAAGCACTCGTAATCTTCTTCTTGCTCAGTTGCAAGCAACTTGTTCAAAAACCCTGAAGTGCGTTAAATTGATAACCTTTAGTAAGTCGTATGCATTTGTTACCACAAGGTTCCGTTTCACTTTGCGGAAACGAAGATTGTAACACAGGTGCAACCCTCCTCTTGAGCGTTTTTATATTTTTTACCTCACAAATAAAATAAAGTAGGGTCCTAAATTCAACATGGGATCACCATTGCCTGTGTCGGTGTGGAAACAAAGCCATTAATCCCGACTAACCTTCTTCTTCTTCTCGTAGCCGTCAAGATGAAGAGAATGGAATTCTCTCTCAGGATAGTGATTTACCTCCCTCAGGATGAGGCCTTCAGAGGGATGCGGATAACCAGAATATCTCTTGTTTGGACGCGGTTTGACGAAGACACTCGCAAAACATTGCGCAAGCGGAACACGTTGTCAACGCCTCTACACTAGCTCGAAGTCAAATTAGCTCCATATTCCTAGGAGGAACCCTTGGACTCAAATAAGTCATTCTTCCACATTTGGTGAACTTTGGGTGGAACTTTAGGGCAACAGTTTCTTTTCAGGATTCTACTGTGAACGTCATTCTATGTATTGGACACTACCCATGATGAACGCCTACTCAATCCAGAGTGCATTGTACCTTGGTGAGTCCCCAGCAGGGGAGGGGGAATTAGTCGGTGCAGGGAAGTAGGTCGTATCTAGCTCGAGGAATTTTTTCTGATAGTTGGTTGTCACCGCGCTAGTGGCTAGGTTGGGAGACCCGGAGAAGGTCGTATTTGCTCATCACTTTGACTCTGATATTTGACAAGTACAAGTTTTTCCATGTACGAGACAACTTTTTCCGGTTGCTAATTTTTCGTAGTTTTTCGCTCGACAATAGTTTTTGTTAGGGAGAAGAACTGGAGAGATTTGTGAAAAAAAACGGGAAAATTCTGGTTGGGAAAAGCCAGTTGGGTGTAAGTAAAATGGCGAAAGGGGGAGAGGGTATTCGTACTTTTCAAAAATACCCCCCCCTCCTCCACCCCCAGCGACAGGACGTACCCTGACTCATTGAGTGTGGCGCACAAAGCGCATTTGATGCCCAGTTGGCTAATGATAGCACAAAAATAGCTGGAATGAAATAGCCCAAACCCATTAACCGACTAGTCCAGAATGATCAATTTCAGAGGCACCAGAATAATTGAGAGGGAGCCACCAACCACCAAATTTGATGACGACATCTGTCAATCAAATAAAACGGCAAGTTTGTTGACAGAGCCCATTCTTTGGTCAAAAAGGTTCTTTCCGGTGAGTGGCGATGGGCCCTCAACTGTACTTGCGTACCGCACTTCCGCTGTGAACGACCTTTTATGTGACACGAACGGAGCCAGGACACGACCCGATATATCGGAGAAAAGGACTGGCTTCGTCTTCGGCGTAGATCTAGTCAACCAGCCAGACGTGCCCTCCAGGGTACCGATCGCGTGGGCGGAAGGCACCATAGACCAGTGAGCCGCACCTATTCCCACTTCACTAGGGGAAGTCCCAGTTTTGGTTTTGTGATTTTCGGCTTTGGGTTCCGACCAGTTAGCGGCAGTGACTGCTCTTTGAACACATTGCAACCCGTAACCACTAGACCAGTGCACATTACCTGAGTACATATAAAGTCATAGAATTGCGCGCTGAACTTCACAATGACCGGAATTTCCTCGCCCTCTATTCGTGGATATGATTCATGAAGTTCATTATTTGACGACAATTTACGGACATGAGGTGTTCGTTGCTCAAAGAGTTAACCGGTTCTTACCATTGCCTTTGCTCATACAGTCAGTCACTCGCTCTCTCTCTCTCCCCGACTCCGTTCCTTACTAATCAGCTTTAGAATTTTTTCCGACCGCGGTCACGCCCACCCCCTCGCATCGCCACCCTACCGAGGTAACTATTCACTATTTAAACAATCATCAGCCGAGTCAGAAGAAAACTGCTCGCGGTCGCAGCACTCCGCCGCCAGGCGGGGCGCCCCCACCCAAAGGCCGACACGGCGAATGGGGCAGTCGCCTGTCGCCTGCTGCTCATCTTCTGACTGTGGTTTTGTATTTTGTCCATCGTTCTGCGGCGGTCTTTGTTTGGGTAAGGGGGCTGCAGGCAAGGGTATGGTCCTTCGGCGCGGAGAGCGTTGTCCTGTGTGGAGTTCTTTTGTATGCCGACTATCTACTTCGAGAAAAAAAGTGCTACTTAAGGCTTTCAGAAGGTTAGAATATGCAAAAATGTCGCAGTTCGGCTTGGGAGGGGGTGGTGGTGGAGGGCGTTTTGCACTTTCGCCTCTCCTATCGTTGTACTCATTGTTTTACAAGAGTTGACAAGTAGTCTCTACGAACTTGACTGGTACGCGTCCATGGCTCCGAGATTTCACAGAACGCTGCTTGATGGCTCGACACGACAATGAGAATTGTTGGACCCCCCAAGCCGAATTGCGCCGCAAAATTCACAAATAAAAACTGTAGCTGTGTTCAGTAAGTTTTTGTACGCGTTTTCGCGACCATGGATAAATGCGCCTCTTTGTTCACTATCACTTTTTTACGTAGTAACAGTACTTTCTCACTACCTTTGCAATGACCGAGTTACTGTCGTTCTTTAGTTCCAGTAATCGATAATCGACTTATAGGACAAAATGGCGCCGATGACAGCACTGCCAGATTTCGGTCTCAACACGGACGACATTCGATACTTCAAAATGGATTCTATTATTAGAGGAAAGGGACCTGATCGACTGAAGTTCCTTGATCTGGAAGGTTAGGATTTGAAGCAGTAATAGAGTACGCCCTGAGCTTTTTGCGACTTGGAACAGCCTCTTTGACAATTCTCCCCTCTCTTCCACCCCTTCCACTGATGAGGGATTTTATGAAAGATCAAAACCGGAAAAATAACGTAAAAGTAGTTGAAGTGTACTGAATATACCTGAACTGCTCCTTCGGTTCAGGCCTAGAAATAGCGCATAGCTCTGGAGAACCTCGGCATTTGAGGCTGATCTTCGAAGCGTTTCTCGGGTTGTTCTACAGCCACACAATCTCATGAGTTTTCTTGAATAGACCTTCAACTAATCAATTCTTTCGACGTCGTATCGTATAGGGACGTAAGCTCCGGGTGAATGAAGAACTATTAAACCTTCTTTGTGAGTTTTTGTCCACTTATAGCCGATTTGATACGGTGTGGAGGAAACAATCTG